ACATAGTTGTCTATCAGTAGATTGATTCTAGTTCCTTCAAAATCTTATGAGAATAAGATCTACTATATACATGGTATATTTGGTTTCTCAATTCTGAATAGGTCATCTAATCAGAAAGAATTGTTTCTCTTTTATCTTTATTCTTTTGAATAAATTTTATTTAGAAAAACTTTAGTTCCTGCAGCTATGCCTCGAAGTCTATTCCCTGTACAATTAAAAATAACTTTTTTTACTGCAACTGAATTACCTGAAATGATGACTGATTTTTTAGCAACTGTTTCAAAAAAAATTTTTCAATCAGACACATGGGAACCAACTGATCCTTATGTTGAGGTTACGTATAATACAATGACAGCAACAACAGATGCTCGTAATGGTACAACACCTGCTTGGGGTGAAGCACTTTATTTAATTGGACGTTTTCCACCACTTATACGATCAATTAAAATAGCTCTTAAAGATCGTGCAACTGTTAAAAAAGATCGTATTATTTCATCATTTTTTATTGATCTTTTTTTAATAAGTGAAAGTAATCCATCAGCTGGTTTTTTACCAACATTAGGTCCAACATGGATGTTTTTATATGGAAGTCCAAGAGAATATACAATAAGTAAAGATAAAGATGGTCTTAACGAAGGAATGGGTGAAGCTGTTTGTTATAAAGGACGACTACTTATGGCTATTGATTGTCATGCAGTTAGTGGAGAAAATACATCAAACATGAATGTACAAAAAGAAACTGGTATACAATTTCCTGAAGAAGTAAATATTATTGACATATTTTCTAATTTAGTTACATTGATATAATTTCAATAAATTCTTTTTCTTTTCATAGCATATATTTCCAATGAAACGTTCATTTCTCTTATTTGGTTGTATTTATGATGTCAGTATGATTGATAAATCATTTGTTAGTGGAACAATTTCTTTTGAATTAAGTATTGGTTCAAGTGGATATTTAAATCCACAACAATTAACTACTGCAATTAATAATCCTGTTTCATCATTAACATGTGCTTATCCACGTGTTTCAATTGATAATAATAAAGGTTATTTTCGTTTACCAATTAATTTACAAAAACCAATATTATTTACAAAATATATATTTCATGATTATATTTATCGTATGACATTATCAAATCGTCTAAAAAATGCATCTGAATATTTGGTATTGATTTTCAAAAATTCATTTAAGAAAATTTTTGTTTTTTATTTTATTTTTAGAATAAACAAATTCGTGAATTTGAATCGAAAATTAATTCTAAAGTGTCAAATGAAATTCTCATGAAAGAATATAGAAAAATCGAACATTATGTTCATACATTACCGTGTGGATGTGCTGAAAAAAGAAACGATCATGAAAATTCGTGTATTACATCTATAGTTCATCCGACTTTATACGAATTATTAGATTCTCCTTCGACAAATATTAAGATGAATCAATTAGATATTAAACGGTATAAAAAGGTTTTTAACAATTTACAATCAATTAAATCTTGGGTTTCAAAAGAAATTAGCTTTGAGGAATCAAAACGATATGAAATTGTTAAGGAATTAGATAAAATAGCTCGTGCATTTCGGCAAATGGCTACTGATGTAAATATAATTTACACAAGAAAAGAAAAGGATAAAATTATTTTTCTTTTTTCTTTTTTTTTGAAAGGCACAACCATCTTTACCTGATATATTTTTATGGATGATATGTGACTCAAAACGAGCAGCTTATGCACGTTTTCAACCTGAAGATCTTCTTTTTAATTTATGTAAAGGTGAAAAAGGTTTATATAATGGTCATGTACAGACTATTTTTCTTAAAGTTTGTTACCATTCTTATTTCTTTATCCTGACAAAAAAAAATATAATTATAATTTATTTTCAGACATCATATTCAACAGATAAACCACAAAATTCATCAATAAATGCGAAAGTACAAATCTATCTTTGGCTTGGAATTGAAGAATATGAACCATTGATATTTAAACACTTACCTGCTGGTTTTGATATGCCACCATTACCATTACATTCTCAACTGAAATTTATAAGATATAATGGTTAGAAATCAATAGAGAGTTGAAAAAACAAACCGATAAATAAATACCATAAAATATGCCGTAGTGAACACTTCACAGTCCGACTAACAAGGAAGCCTCCTCAGATATCACCTTTCGATTTCAATGATGTTTTACCTTTAGATACTACATGGTGTTCTAATGAAAAATCTAAAA